ATTGTAGCTGTTTGTATTTCCTATCCTACTAGGTGTTGATTTGGTAGTCAAAGCTGGAATGTAGCATGTTTCCTTCTGACTCAATAATTCTCATCAGGCTGTGACCTCATGTATTGCCAATGTCACGAAGATAATGTATCTAGCTATATATACATATTCACATACAAGTATATATACATACACACATATAATATGCATATTGTGGTTGTCCATTTGTTTCAGTGGTTTCCAATTCTTTGTCACTCCATTTGGGATTTTCTTGGCTAAGATATTTGCGTGGTTTGCCATTTCCTTCTTCAGCTTATTTTACAAATGAGGAAACTGAGACTAATAGAGTTAAATGACTTGCCCAGGGTCACATGGCTAGTAAGTGTCTTAGGCTAGATTTGAACTCATGAAAATGAGTCTTCCTAACTCCAGGCCTAGCATTCTTATCCACTATGCCACCTGGCTGCCCATAATATGTATATATGCACATGTCATATATATATTATATATCACATATTATATACATGTATTTATGTATATAAAAAAGGGCAAATTACTATCTCACTTTCTAACTCCTCAAATGAAAAAAAAACATTACCAAATAACAGATTTTTATGAAGAAAGCACTGTATGAATACTGTGACTCTTTTTGAAAGACTGGAAGAAAACATCACCAGGAATGAATCCCAGGGATGAATGGAAGAAACACTTCAACTCTTAAAAAAAAAAAAGAGAAAATAAATTTGAAAAGTCAGAGGTGCATCTTGCCTCATTTTCAGAGTTACGTTGGTAGAACAATGTGACACAGAAGAGGATGGGAAGAAAGCTACTTGGGGTTTAGTAATATGTTTGAGGACCCCCTCAAATGGAATGGGGAAGTTAGAACTTCATGGGGAAGGGGATTGTTGTTTCTATTGGCTACGTAAGTGGTGATCAGAAAAAGACAAGTAACGGTGCCTGGGGATTCCATGTTCAGGACTATTTCTAAACCTGGCATCGACAATAGAGAAGCCTACTGTACTGGAGAATTTTCTGGGAGATTATAGTGAGAATCCCAGAGGTTATGAAGCCTAATGACTACTACCCAATGCTGCAATCTTATGTAGGAATACATAATGCTGGTAGAAGTTTCTAAAAAGCTTTTCTAAATGTTATGAAGTCTTTGACAGGGAACTAAAGATTTTAAAGATATATGTGAAGTTTTAATTACTGTTGTCAATCGAAGATCAGGGTTTCAGAAGAGAAAGGCATTCTGGGTATGTGAAACGTTTTAAATACCAAATACAGGAGATTTCTCAAATGACTTTCCATTATTCACATTTGTGTGTGACATTTTGTTGTGACTTGAGCATTGCTTTACTTTAAAGTAAGAGGAGTCACTTTTTAATTATCCAACCAAGTAATTTAAATTGGTGGAGTGAGATACCTGAGCTGGTGGTGAGATAGTTCTCAAAGCCTGCCAACACTTGCCCCTTGCCTCACTGACCAAATATGCTGGTGCCTCATCATTGGCCCCAGCTGGTTTCATGTCTGTGCAACCATTTCTTCATTCTAGGTAATGAAATGGAATAACAATCCATTAACAATTCATTAAAACATAAGCATCTTGAGAGCAGGGACTGTTTTTTTTTTCCTCTTCTTTGTATGCCAAGCAGTTAGCATAATGCCTAGCACATAGTAGGAGCTTAATACATGCTTTTTAAACGACTGAATATTTTTCAAAATATAAAATGTGAAATCTGTTGTCTATAACTGGCTAAGGGTCTAAATTGAAAAAAAAATTTTTTCTCTCAGGCCTTTCCCAATACATTCATAGATTCAAACATACAAACATGTTATAGACACCTAGTTAATTGTATATAGACAAAGTGAAAATGAAACTAAACCAAAAAATATAAAATAAAGACAGTTGCCATTAACCATCTTCCACAACATTTCTTCTTCTGGTTTATATTCCTTTAGGTGCAGACAAGAAAAAATCTTAACCACCCATTCTTGCAGCTTACAAAGGGATATTGCTCTTGGCTTCATTCTTAGTTACTTGCCCTTGCTGCTATCTTTTGTACAATTCTTTTAAAAAGCTAAGTTACAGGGTCAGTTCCCTGTGTAGTCATATCTATCTCTTAAGACAATTCCCATCTTTACTACTCATTAAAGTCTCATTGGTGTCTTTAGAATTTCATTTTTGAGCATCTCTCAACCCTCCTGAGCTTATGTATCTTATATTTTAATCCTTGACACTCTACCTATCCTTATTCTGAGCTCCTTTAAATATGCTATATTCATCTCTTTGATTCTTTTGAGTGTTTGTGCATTTTGTCTCATAATCCCTGAAATGTATCACAACTTTATTCAACCAGTGTAATATCATTCACAAATAGGAGTTTCTGGAGAACCTCACCATCTATAGGGAATATCTCTTCAATTTGAACTTTCCATTAGATTTCTTCCAAGAAAGTAGTAAGTGCCTTTTTTGACTATATATCTTCCTATTTTATGCCTTTTGTGTTAATAATCAGGGGAATATCAAATATAATCATCTCTGTTGATAGGTCTTGCAAACGAAGGCCATGTGAACTCCGAGGTACCCTTTATCCTAACTCTTACTTCCACAGTTAAGTCAGGCGGTCTCCAGAGCTTGGATGGTTATATCCCTCCACCAGTGTTCTAGGGGTACTCCTGCAGCGTCAGAGGCGATTCTCTAATACAATTGGCTCAAGCTCCCACCTGTGTTTCTTCCCCATATTATCAATAGAGAATCATTTAGTCATCCAGTTTTTAGTAGCTTTTAGAAAAGGATATTTACTAATGTTATGCAACAAGAATAGCTTCTACAGATCCCCTGAAATGTCTGTGACATACTCTACCACAAATACATACAGAGCCCAGGATAAGAGAGGAGGATAAGAGAGGAAACACATAGTTCATGGTTCCCATTAGGCACGGTGCAGTTTATTTGCTGGGCTCCTTGTAGAGCTACAAATCTACTGCATTCTTGACTCCTAATGATGCAAAGACTACCGCCAACTGATCTGGGGACACTGCAAGGACACCAATGGCAAGATGGCGACTGTGGCTGTCTCTAGAATTATGATGTAAGGGCATTGATGGGAAGATAAAAAATTTAACATACTCCAGACCCTTCAAAGCTGAAGGTCCTACTTTAGTTCAAAGGGGAGGGGGAAAAAGATGCAGCAGAGGCCTTAAGTTGAAATCCCCCAAATCCCAAGAAGTTCCTTCTCAGGAATGTAGTAGAAAAATGCACATTCTTATTTCTGGTATTCCTTTCATTTCTCAACTTCCTTGATACTTTATAGATAATCCCTGAAGGGCTGACCAAGTTTTCCAGCCAATCAGAACAGACTTCCTTTCTGTCTGGCATTATTTCACGTCATCCAATGACTTTCGAGTACTTTTCACACTTCATTGGTCTTTTGTTTGTTTGATTGATTGATCAATAGTTTCACTAGTTAAGGCATCAGGGTTAAAATAGAATCTTGTACAAAGAAATCTTGCAAGTTTTTGATGTATGCATTAGAGAGTCCTTGTTGAAAGATGGCTTTAATCACAGAGACTTGCTCAACTGAATCAAATGCTATTATATAGTCAAGAACAAATCAGCACATTGAGATCTTGTATTCTGTATACAATTAAGTCAATTGTATAAAGATGTAGTCTATGGGGAATATTACTTGCAACAGTCTACCTCTTCCTCACTCATATCCTTCTCTGGAATCCCTTCAAAACATGTTTATATTCTTATATAAAATTTTTTATGGATGAAAAAGAAGACATAAAGATTAGTAGTATTGATAATCTCTTGGTCCTTTATGTTTAGATTCTTTTAGGTGTCTTAACAAGGTCTGTGATTGTCTCCATACCTTTGGTATCTTTCTTTCCTCAGATACTTTTGAAATAAATTCAACACCCTCATAATTGTGTTGCATACATTCTGGATTTCTTTCATGTAGGTTTGATCAAACTAAGCTTTTCTTTGTCCTCTTTATTGCTATTTCTACCTTCTTTGTAAGTTAAAGTATTATGGCTCCATTTTCCCTGATGGTGGAGAGAATTCTACATAAAAAAAAAAAAAACCTTTGCATTTTTCCCCCACATTTTTTTCTGGTTGCTGTCTTACTAGTCTCATCCTTAAATACCCTTGGGAATCCCTCTTTAAACTGGTTTTATCCTCCACTCTCTCTCTGCATTTTGAAACTGTTCTGTTCATAATCTTCTGCTATCCTTCTCAGTAAGATTTTATAATTTGCATTTTAAGCTTCTTTTCCCCAGGCTGCCATATTTCTGTGCTTCACAAATAACCAAATTTTTGTTGACTAATATTAAATTTTTAGGCTTGTTTACTTACCTTATTATGACAAATTAATTATATTGGTTAAACTTCTACATGACATTATTGCAATTGGTGTCTTCTGTCCATATCCTTTTTTCATTATCAATAATAGGTTTAAATAGGTCAAAGAAAAGGTCATAAAAATCACATAGGTCAAAGAAACAGTCACAAAAACCACATATCTTGATTATATAAAATAAAAAAAATTGCACAAGTAAAATAAATGTAGATAAAATCAGAATAAAATATATGAACTTGGAAAATATTGTATTAAATTTCACTAACACAAATCTGATATCCAGAAGAATTTATACATATGTATAAGATGTCACATTTAGGAGCAATGGGTGAAAGAGGCAAAGAAGAAGATTTAGGCTTGACATAATGGAAAAAAATTGACAGTCAGAGCCACCCTAAAGTTGAATGGACTAACTCAGGAGGTAGTGAGTACCTTTCCCTGAAAATCTTCAGTGAAAGAGTAGATGACCATTTGTCAAAGATACTTTATAAGGAATCCTCATTCTGTTTCTGAGATTGAGGGCTTTCAAAGAAAATCTATAATCTGTTGCCCTTGTTCTTACTGCTTGTAAAGGGAGTTGGTCATGATTTCTAGAAGAACATTGAAAAATAGCAGTTGTCTTGTGTTAAGAAATTTTTTTATTTTTTTCCTTTGGAACTGTTGATGAAAGCACATAAAATTACAAGTGGAAGAAACGTCATGCCACAAAATTGCATAGAATTATTACAAAAATGTGAATTATGCATTTTAAACAATTTGAGATTGATAAACCAAAATATGTACATTTTAATAGCTCCAATAGTTTGTCCTATCTTTTTTCTTAAAAGGCAAAAATCACAAAGTCCAATCCATCACAGACAATATTAATACAATATACAAGAGCAACATTAAAGTTAAAAGAAACGCAAGCAACGTTCCTTTAGAAATCATCCAATGATTGCTTAACTAATACACATGTATTAATTAATATATGGCAATAATGAAACAGTTGAATTCAAAAATGTCTGACATTTCATTAGAACTTTGAAAATTCTGTTCACACTGCCAAAACCACACTATTTTCAGTAGTGTAAAGATAGCTGAAGAGCACAATCTAGGTAAATGCAAGGCTCTACTGTCTATTAGAATAACATCCACAGTACAGAATTTCATACATTCAACACAGAACAAGGCAAATACATAAAGGCACAAGACCACACATCATAAAGACCCCTTTTTCTTCATCTTAGTCTATTTCAAGTAATATTAATATTATTAAATGATATTTGTATCACTGTTATAGTTTCAACAATGCAAGGTATACAGTGTTACACACTACCCTACAACTGCAAAAAGTATCACTGTACAGATATAAAAAAATGTGATTATAGTAAATGGTCAAATACAAACATATTGCAAAATAGCTACAGTGGTTAAGATACGGAAAACCAACTAACTGAATTGTTTTGTGTAACTGAACTGTTTTTGTATAAATCAAAAATTAGTCAGCCTCAGTCTATTTCCAGACTAAAATTCTGCACTATCTACTGTACTCATTACAATGCTGTGGAGTTATGAATATCCTTATTAGTTTATCTATCATTCAGGCAATCTGGAATTCTGTTATAAAATGGAGCATTCAATGGAGACCATTATAGTTTCTTTATGATCACTATCTTTATCTTCAAAGTGCCAAAGTAGAAATATTTATAAAGGATTTCCCTTTTCCTAAGTGGAAGCTTTATTCAATGAATCAAAGTAATTTAGTTCAAAATACAATCATCTGGAAAGATCAGGTGACTCCCCCCTGTCTTATTAAAGTTGTTTTTAAAAAAGGATTTTTTAAGGTTTGGACCTAAGCTTGATCTTGATTGAAACTGAAGATGGACTTTTAGTTATTGCTTAAATTTGAATAATATAAGGTGCACAGAAATATTAAACTCCTGAGGGAATATAAGTTAAAGAGCATAAAAGTTTTCTGGGTATTAAATTGCTATGCTTTGCTCCTGTCAAAGATAATTACTTTAATTTCAATAAAACATAATGGGAATATCTCCTATAGATTTTAAGCTAACTATTATTTTTATGGAATGGCAGTGTGGTATACTGACTAGAGCTTTGACCTTGGAGGCAGAAAGACCTGAATTCAAGCCCTGTCTCTTATACATAGTAGCTGTATAACCCTGGACAAGCCACCTAGTCTCTCAGTGCCTAGAATACTATAAGTTACTGAAAATCTGCTAATCAGTGGAGGAAGTTTCCCACCAGGAGTTCCCTCATACCAATGAAATCATAAGTCTGGAACAACAACAAAAGTACTTATGTTGATATCTAAAGGTTATATTTTTTCATTTAAAAACATCTTGACCCACATAAAACTTTCAAATATAATAATTTAATCGGTGTTTACCATGTGGTTGATTTGCTTTTTATAGTCTAACAATATATAAACACAGATGATTCTGAATCTTTAATCACATTAAAATGTGGTTCAATGGATTGATGTATAATGGATATATGTAAAGCATTCAATGGATGGGCTTCAGTTTCAAACCTTAGTAAAACTGAATTTTAGTTAGGGCAAAAGATAGTGGTAGAAAATAAAACATTTCCAGTACTGTCATCCACTTTTTCATTCAGTTCTATCCACTTTAAACAAGTAGATAGAACCTTAAAAACCGACCCTTGAAACCAATCATTTAGAGCCTGCAAAATATGCGTATGTATTTTATGTTCTAACAAAATTTTGCTTTACACCACCAGTGCCAAAAATGGTTTTCTTAATATTTTAATATAATTTAATATCTACATAATCTAGATATTAGAAACTTACTTTCCCTACCCACTTAAACCTGAATTTCATTTAATTTATTATACATGAGGTTGGGTTCACTGCCAAATAATAAATACACCCACATATATATGAATGTGCATAGATACACACATGTTGTTCTGTGTGTATGCATTTGCATGGATACAAGACATATTTATATATATTTTTATATATGGGTCTGTGTGTATTCTCTAGATAAATATTCAATCTTTATACTCCAAAATAAAAGGACCATAGAATGTCAGAACTAGTTTATAGTCAATATGACTCACTACAGTCTGTTCATTATGGCTGTGTTTATATACTCAAAGTGGCTTTACTCTTTTGATTCACAGGTCAATTATTTGTCAACTGTTTGATCAATCCATTTAATCCTATAGCTAGTGAGTACATGACCTGTGAATCTAAATGGTCAAACCTATATTCATGTGTAGAAACAGCCTTAAAATATCTGGAAATACCAGAGACCACGTCGCTATGCAGTTATCTGGGTTGATACCTAAAATAGACCCTAGCAAACTATACTGACATGTTTTTACTGTTTTAGGTCATTGGTCTGGCTGGATATAAGCAAGTTAAGCCTTTTTCATTTAAAGAAAAAAAAAACTTTTAAAAATCACCACTGTTCCTTGTGAAGAAATTTTCAGCAGCAAATATAATTTTACCTCTATGATAAACATAATATCAAAACAGCAAGCCACCAGTGCTTGCAAAGCAAAGAAGATAAAACAATTCAAAGCAAATATTAAATTGATGATATGGCTATTGTTGACAGGCAGTTAGAATGAAGAGCTCAAATATGGCTGTTACATGGCATTAGATAGCATTGCACATTTCTGTCACTCACTGCGTTGGTTTAGAATACTACATTCCGAGTTCAAACAGAAATCAGCAAATGGCTTTCTTTGTTAAATATTCCCAATGGTGCATGTGGGCCATTCTGCCTTAGTAAAAAGAAAGTAAATATCTCTATTTTTATCTGTATGGTATACACATTATCTTCCTCATTAGACTTGCAGTATGTTTCAGCATGATTAACTGAAGAGTGAGAATGAAGGCCTCTGCATATCACTTTGCCAGAAAGATTCCCTCAGGAGATATGCATTGTATTAAGCAAAGTCTCTTGATGCTAGCTCCATGCTCACAGTAAGGGGGGGAGGGGAAAGATCAAGCTTTGTGAAGATGTGGCTCCTGCTTGTGGATCATGGTGGGGGGCAGTTAGAGGGGTGTATCAAATACTCTTTCTGCATTGTCTTCTTCCAGTTCTTCCTCACTGGGGGGACACTTGTGGTTCACTTTGCTGCTATCTGAGGTGAGGGAGGAAGAGACTGAGCTGTGATTGCCATCTTCACTGATCTTTCCTTTCATGGCTTCCTGTACAAACTCCAGGATTTCCAGGGGGAGCCTTTTGAATTTGTCTTGATATTCCTGGTCAAGTTCCACCTGCATCTGGAAAACGTAAACAGAAGAGTCTATTTTAGGGTGTTCAGGTTTTCATGATCATGAACACGGAAACCACAAACAAGCAATAAATAATGATGAAATATTAAGAAGGGGAGAAATAAGTTCTTTTTAATTAATATATGTTGAATAGCCACATGATTCCTAAAGCTGTAATGCTGGATAGGGTTGAAAACATTGAAAAGATATATGCCTTGTCAGAGATTCTAATTTCACCTAACTTCAAAGGACACACCAACAGTCAAATAGCTTAGAATATCAACAGTGGGTTGTAGGATATACACACTTGCACACATATAGATTATATTGTGTGTGCATATATGTCTACATACATACATATGGATAATTCATGACCCATCTTAAACATGTATGCTTTGAAGTTCTCTGAAAAAAAAAATCATTCCTTGGTGTTCAACCTAATCATGATGAACAATTTGGAATTTGGCTAGGTTGCTCACTAAATGAGAGATATGTAGGTCATCTCCATGTTTCTCTGAATATACATACATATAATCTCTACATCTATGACCAAAACAAATTGACAATAAAATGCCTGAACTAGTAAAAGTAACTGTGTCCATGTCTTCAAAAATAAAACAGGTCAATTGTTTTGACTTTAAAGTCTATTATATATTTTAACATATATATTTATGTGTATGTATATATGTATCTTCTGAAATATTGAAGTTTATGTCTGCACAGGATAACTGAATTTTAGACTTCTAAGTTAGTTAATGAGCATTTATTAAGCTTCTATTATATGCAAAGTAAGTACTAGGGATACAAAGAAAGGCAAAAACTGCCCTCTGGGAACTCACAATCTAATGGGGGTGTTGTAAGGGACTTCAGACGAAGACATATGGCAGAGACATAGAGGTTATTTAATCCAAACTGTGGCCTCATTTAGGAATCTTGTCTCTTATATTCATGATGGATCGTCATAATCTTCTGTTCAAACATTTCCAGGGACAAAGAGCTCATTACTTCATGATGCATCCAGTCCTTTTATTGGAGAACCTCCTTAGAATTTCCATTTCATGAAGTATACTATATAAAACATGCTCACTTCGAACCCAGCTCAGCTTCTGATTCTCTGGGCTACTTTTCTACTTTGCCCCTAAGAGCATACCTCCCCATCCATTTCCTTTTCAATACCCTTTTATATGCTATCTTCTCCCAACATAGTGAGCATAAGTTCCTTGAGGGAAGGGACTTTCTTTTTTGCTTATATTTGTATTTCCTGCACTTAACAGTGGTTGGAATATAGCAAATGCTCAATGTTTTATCTTAGGTAATCTAATAACCTAATATAATTTAATATATCTTGTTACAATTTTTTTACTCAAATTGAGCTTACTTATAACTTCTACCCATTGGATTTAAATTCTACCATAAGTGACAATACGGAACACATCTATTAACTTTTTTTCAAGACTTTTGAATATTTAAAGACCTCTATCATATTTTCTTTCAGTATTCATTAAGTTTATTATGTATATTTCCTTCAACTATTTCTCATAAATCATGGTTTCTAGACCTCTGGTCTTCCTCCTCTAGAATTTGTCAGTGTCTTAACAATGTGTCTCCCTCAGATAAGCACAGTACTCCAGATATGATCACATCAGGTAAGAGTATGGAAGGATCATTACTTCATATGTATATTTATGTTTATCTATTTTATTATCATAGCATAAGGTATGTAGTACTGCCATAGGCCAATCAATTAAAACTCCATGTCTTTTTCACAAAAATCTCTGCCAAATCAAGTCTTCCGTATCTGATACTTATAAAATTGATTTTTTTAAACTTCAAGTGCAGGAATTTATAATTAGCCACATCAAAATCTGCATACATTTATATACATATCTCTCTTGATAGAATGTAAATACCTTGAGAACATGGATTATTTCATTTTTGGTTTTGTAGCTCCAGTATTTTTCCTTTTTTAATTATTTGTTGATTGATTTATGCTACTGGTTTTAGCCTATTGGCATTATAATCTGTTTTTATAATTCTCTCCTGATCATTGCCTGATCATTGTAAAGGCAATTTCTCTCAGTATATTATGAGTAATTTTGATCATCCTGCAATTTTTAAATTTTTTTAAAGGATATTTTTCCTGGTTCAAAGAATGAATGGCAAAAGTATATGGTAGGAGACAAATGGCTAAAAAGCAGTTCATGTAAAAAAATATACCAGTGATGATGAGTGATAAACTCAATGAGTCAACAGTGTGGCATGGGAGCAAAAAGCCCCCCAAAACCAAAACAAATGCCATCTTAGAATGCATGAAGAAAGACAGTGTCCAGAAGGAGGGAGATGATAGCCCTTCTCTACTTTGCACTGGTCAGACCACATAGGGATTGTTGTACACAGTACTAGATGTTATACTTTGGGTGGGACATTGGAAAGCCAATATGGGTCCAAAAGAATAGAGCAAGAATGTTGTGGACTTGAAACTATGCCATATGAGGATGGATAAAGGACTTATACATGTTCGGCCTGGAGTAGGGGGAAAAAAAACCTTAACTAGGAAAAAATAGCTACTTAAAATATTTGAAAAATTGTCATAGGAAAGAACATTCAACTTATTTTCTTGGAATAAGAAGAGAGAGCTTGGAGTTATGGATGATAAGTAAATTAGGGCTCAACATAATGGATTTTTAAATGTTTAATGTTTAAAGTTGTCCTCAAAGGGAATGAGCTATCCTGGGAGGCAGTGAATTCCATATCACTGAAAATCTTAAAGTGAAGACTGCAACCAGTTGTTACAGATGTTGAACTTGGCCTAAGTGGCATCTTCAGTCCTGTTCATCTTCAAGATTCTTTGAATCTATGCTTGGTTGAAAACTGATAAGAAGTTTTGAGGTATTGGAATAGGAAGTAGAAAACTCAGTATTGATAGACTCTGATCATTTAAATTAAAAGACATAAATATGGAAGGCTAGAGCAGAGTTGGAGTATGAGGAGAAAGGAAAATTTAGGAAGATTTGTGTAAATAATCAGAGTGTAAAGAAATCTTTCAAATGATCCATTTTGAGTTGCTAATTTTAATTATCTGGAAATGAAGGACTAGAATGAGTTGCTGAAGGTCTTGCAGACTGGGAACTTGAACCCACATCTTCAAAGGTATGGAGAGATTGGAAACTCTGCCCTACAAACACTGAAAGGATCATATAGTGAGATAATAGATATGGAAGGGCTTTGGGGAATACTAGTAGCTACCAATGAGGCTAATTTTTGGATAGGAGGCACACAATTACTTGCCAGGCCTAATGTCAAAGTCTACTCTACTGTTATCGACTTCAGCCCAGAGTTACCATAATGATACAAAATAGGAGGAGAAATTTAGTTGTGGAGAGATCAGTACGATTATAATTAAAAGATGATGGTATGTAGGACTGAAGGTCCAGTTTAGGTTGTGAAAACTCTCTGCTGGAGTGCAGACCCTTTCTTTAAACTGCTATAAGGCCTCTAGCCTTTGGAGCTGGGGTCTATATTACCTGTATTTGTCTGTTGCCAGACTAATGGATGGCTTCCTCTTGCTTTAATTCCCTCATGAAAACAGAGGCAAGCATCAAGATAGAGGATATCTCCAACGCCAAAAAAATGAGATGTTTATAAACAGGTTTGACGAATTTTCAAATTCTGCTGAAGTAAATAATTTTCATTCTGATGACTCCACGATAATACCAAAATATAGAGCAGCATATGAGATGCATGAAGATGATGAAAAAACACAAAACCAAAACAAACTCATTTATAAAACTGGACAAATGGAAATCAATGGAGCATCAATGACAGGATAGCAAAATAGCCAATTTTTCTCTTGGTATTACAACAATTTCAGATGAAGTGGAAGCCTGGCAATTTCACACTCCTTTGCTTGAGTAAATATTCTCCCCATTGCTTGACAGGTCCTACTTTTTTTCACCATTACAATGAACCATTCTTCAATTTTTAATTAAGCAACACATAGGATTAAAGTCTGTGGAAGGTAAAATGGGAGAAAAGCTAAGTTCTCTTTCAAGAAATAAAATATACTAATATACTAATATCAAGAAATAGAAGTTGTAAAAAAAATTTAAAAAAATTTAAAAAAAAGAAATAGAAGTTGTATACTAAATATCTGAAAGTAAACGTTAGGATAGAGGACAGCATGACAGAACTCTATTGTAACTCAACGAGATGAATATTTCCCTGTAGTTATTGGCTGTGTGGGATTCATATTCCTATGTTTTTGCTATATTATTGCAACAATTGGTTTAAGAGCAAATAATGATTTACAAAAATACATCCAGCAATTCTCCAAGGCTGTGGTGAAGCTTTTTCTTAAAGGTCCTAATGATCTTCTCAATGACCCTAACTGAATTACAATTTTAGTGAATTTGTCCTTTTTAGGTTTTTTACAATTTTTTTTTCAAAATGACAAAAATCACCAAACAAGTTATGCATATATTCAAATCTTCTGGTTTTTTTTAAAACACTTTTGTCTTTACTTAATATGATGCATAAAGCATGATTTTTATTCAGAGCTGTCATAAGGCTCAAGGAATAAAACAGTGTCTTTGAAAATTGGATCTAATTTTCTTGATAAATAAAGACATGGCAAGTATTATATGATGGTGTTGCATGGCATATTAAGAGGTCAGGGCCAAGGATAATAGTCATACCTTATTCATTCAACAAAGTAAGTACCTTTTGGGATCTATTATCATGGTGGAATTCTTATTCAGTTCAAGAAACTAGGGGGGTTGAGATTATCCTCTTTGATTCCAGGTCAGATACAGGGGGCCTGATACGATATGGATTCCCTTTCATTATGTGCCTCCCTCCCACCCCCACCATAAGTTCAGAACATAATTTTTGTCTCACATAATACTTTGTTTTCCACTTTACATATCATATACTTTGCCATACACTAGTTTGTTAAAACAATACACGTGATCATTGTATACACATGATCTATTTCATCTTATTTAATATAG